GGTTGTGCCGTGGCAGGGCGGGTGGGGGGGCGCCCAGCCATGACCCTGGTGCTGCCCATGAACAGGTTCTGCGAGCCCATTGTCTCGGACGGAGCCGCCTTCCCCCAGCCCCTGTGGGAGCCGCACTGTTGCAGCAAGGCCAGCGCCGCGGAGCCCGGCCCGGCCCCGCAGCCCGCGGGCGGGGCGCCCTGCCAGCCCCTGCCAGGTACGCGCCCTGCTCGGGGCCACGGGGTGGAGGGGGGTTGCTTGCACAGTCCCTCCCCCTGCCAAAAAAACAAGAAGCCCCCTGGGCAGTGTGAGGAGGGGGCTGCTTGGGGGCCCCTTGGCACCAGCCAGCCCCGCAGGCCTGGGGAGGGGATGCAAAGACAGGTGGCAGCAAAGCCACTGCCCCCCTCTGCGGGCACTGCCAGGCAGGGGCTTCAGCAGCCCCACGCTCCGCTCGGTGGCTCTTAGGGTGCACAGAGCCCTGCTTGGCACGCGGGCGCGCAGCCCGCCCCGGTTTCTTAACTGCCCTAGGGCTCCGGCTGCCCCAGGGGTGGGTTTTTAATGAGCCAAGGGGGCTTGGGAAGAAGGGTGCCAGGGAGGGTGAGACGGTCTGGATTGTTACCCAGCTCAGCGCAGGTCTTGCTGACCGCTGGGCATGCCAGGTGAAGGTAGGGAGTAATGACGGGTGCTGCTGTAAAATATAATGCTCCATGCAGACGTGTTACATTTTTCCCCCCGCTTTGCCACAAGAGGTAGTTAAAAGCTGCTCCTGTTCATTTACTGGAGCACATTCTCTTGCCCTTGTCATTTCACAAGTTCCTTTCTGGTTCTCCCCCTCCCGGGAAATAAAAGCCTTCTGAAACAGAAAGATTGTCCACGACCGAATTTATTACGGTTGCGTGGAATTTATTTCAGTGTCGCAATGTAAAACTTCTTTTAACTCGGGCCCCCGGCATCTGAACGCGAGACGCTGAGGAACGCAGTTCTTTGCCTGACTAGCTGGAAAAGTGGGAATGCAAGTTTTTCTAAACCAAAATGTATGAGAATGTCTATATATGCCAGACGCATCAGTTTCCGGTGCTGTTAGCATGACCTTCGGCCGCCCATACATCTAAGGAGTTATTTGTTAGTAAGGTAGAAGTTTGTTTTTGATCGCAACAAATATATAAAGATATGTGGTGGCGATATCCTGCAGCGAGTAGGAAAATGAAAAGTATTTTGTTTGGAGAACCTCTGGCAAGCCGCATGTCATTTGTCATATCTGATTTATTACCCACAGGCTCACATTACAGGGGAATTTCAAATCCTATAACAACATCCAAGATCACATACTTTAAAAGGAAATATGTGGAAGAAGAGGATATTCATCCACCACTCAGCAGCTGTGCACATAAAGTATGTTTTTAATAATCATTATTTTTACTAAGAGATTTAGATGCTTAGTAATACTTGCTTGAAGCAGAAATACTCTACCAAAATGGTGACAATGATCCAGCTGTTTGTATAAAAACAAACAGTTGACACATTTTTGGCCTAATTGTGTTATTTATTGTCATCAAATAGTTTAAGAAACAAAGCAGTTCCTTCAATGAGGATAATAGAAAAGATAAATACTCTGAATCACTTCCTTTTCCCATATAAATGTGTTCATAAACAATTCCACTATGTTCATGTGGGGAGGGGGGCACCTGTTTAGTTTGCCTGCTAAAATTCACTGAGTATGTTTAAAAAAAAAAAAAAGACCCTATAATCTCCCATTCGTTCATTAATTCATTCATTCATCATTGAGTTTCAGGGTAGGTTCTGCATGGGTATACTGGCCTAACATAAAAGCAGAATCACTTAAGGAAAGTATATTCTGCTCCAATATTTATTCTTATTCAAAAGATGATCTTTAAAAGTCAAACAGCATATTTTTATATTTCTTAAACACGGGCAAAAGTGGGGTTATAGAAAACATTTCCCAGGTTTGTGACAGCATTAATTAAAATCTGATGTTACATGAAAGATTTAGAAAACTGCTTATGGTCCTTCTCATTAAGGGTTCAAAACATGCATAGTATAGACTATAGAGCATCCTCAGTTTTGTTCTGGAAGGCATCCTGAAACTTGAAGGGGTGATCTCCACCTGGCAGAATTATTTCTGGTTTCTGTGGCTGTGCTACATTAGAGATTTGTAGAGACAGAGATGTCATATCTGAAAGATAGATAAGCCCTCCACCAGTGTATTTTATTTTCAAAATCTCTAAATGAGTGCCTCTAACAGGTGCTATTCTGACAGCCCTGGAGACTGAAGTCCTGTCTCCAGCTACAAAATGATTAAAGCAAGGACAGTAAGTTTCCCACACTGCCTTGCAATATAGCTCAGCTTTTACTTGGAGGGGTAACCTGCAGGAATGAGAAGGTAGTTTATCTTGTTCATATTTGCTGACAACCTCAGACCTGAAAGGAGAAGGTTGATAGTTGTGGTGGAAAGTCCCGTGGACAGATATTCACTTAGATGTGAACAAGCATTTGTAGGATCTAGCTCAGGTTTAGGCAGCTTAATTTAAGCCACCTAAAGCTGAATCAGGAGCAGTGCATGCAGGTATTCACTGCTTGCTGGGAGGAGGTGGTAGGAGCCTAGCAGGCTCAGGTCCTGGGATGTTGGGTCCAAGGGAAGCTGGTGGGTCTGCGATGAGTTGACAGGTCTGTGGTGGGAGGGAGGGGAGGAGGCTGCCTGGTCCCAGGGGGAGGCAAGGCGGTGTTGGTCAGAGTTAGGGGTGTGGAGCAGTGGGGCATTAAAACAGCACACCCTGAGGCTGTGGAGAGTGGCTGGACTTGCCTAGCCCTGGGCCTGTGCTGTGAACACATACAAGCATTCACTAGATTGAGTTAAACCTCGCTAGGTTGGATTAACACTCTGCCAATCTAAAGTTAATTCACCTCAGACCAGAACTAATTCTAGATTGGGGCACGCCATTGCTAGGGTGACTTAAGCCCTGTGCATGCTTGAGCCCTGGGGCATTTAGATTGCCCTAACCTTGATTAGGGCAGTCTAAAAGTAATGCTTGTATGTACCTTTGGTGTGGAGCAATTACAAGATCCCTTCAGAAATCTGAGAACACCAATCACAGAGTACCAGTTTTCAGTTACTGATGGCATTGGTTCTAGTAATTTATTGACCTAGAGATGGAAGCCTATCCTATTAGTACTTACCCAGTTCACTCTGTCACTCAGTCTATACAATATACTAGCTCTACTAAAAAATGTGCTTGCATATAGCATATTTTTAAAAGCCTCTAATTGCCACCATTTCTTTTGTCCTTGTGGTTTTTCACCTCCTTGTCTACTTCCCTCCCTCCCCATAATGAACGCGTCTTTGTTGGAAAGGGGCAGACAATTTTTTTTTGTGGGGAGGAGGGAGGGAGGGAGGGATTAAATTGAAGACCAGATATAGGCATTGAGTTCCACAGTAAGTCTGTTTTATGTTATTGTTCTGTTGCTATTGCAAAAACGTATCATGTAGGAAATCTGAGGTCACCAGTTTATTCTTTCAAGCACAAGTAAATTTTCTAATTTGCAACATTACTGCTAGGGGGAGAGACAAAGGGAGATATTTCCCCCAGGCTTACTTGAATTGCTCACATATGTTTATACTCCTCTTTTCCCCCATTCATATGGACTAAGAAAGAGGCATGTTCTCAGACTTCCTTTTCCCTTTTGTCTAGTCACCGTGCGTGTGACCTGTTCAGTTGGTGCTGCAGTAGGATCTGGGTGGCAGAGCATTCACACCATAGTGCTTTGGAACTTGCTTCTACTGGTGGTCTTTCATGGCACAGGTCTAGTGCTTTTCAGGTCACAATGCAAGGCTTGTCTCTTTGGTGAAGTCTTTAATGAGCTAATGGATTATTTCTACAGCAGGGCATAAAGGACTCTGGTTAACCTATGGAGTTAATTTAAGTTAAAGCTAGAAATGTATTGTAGAAAATTATTACACCAGAGAAGAAAGTTCTGGTTGTGAACTTATTTGAAAAATAGTGCTAATTTTGGCTTCTGAAATGAACTGTGCTTCTACTGGTCTGTGCAGGGCAGACAGCAGCAGGCTGTGGGAAATACTACATGGTGTATGGGTACTGAGTACTACTGAAAAGTAGCTGTGTAGCAAGCTCTCCTGTCCCTTATAGCCACCATTTCCCACTGCAAAAATTCTGAAGCCACATGGGAAAAGGAGGAATGACCAGGCTGCAGATGGGGAAAATGAGAGCAAGCTCTTTTCCTCCTACGCAAATTTTCCTGTTCTAAAAATGGAAATTAATTAATGTTTATAGTAGCAGATACTACCCCTCTGTACTTTGATTCCCAGGGTAAGGATCATGGTGAAGAAACCATGGCCTCCTGGGAGTAGTAACCTGTTCATGCTACCACTCCTGAGAAGGAAGCCCTACAAAGAAGCAGGGAAAAGGGAACAAATTTGTGGGCTTAGAGCCAGGGTTTTTTTTACAAATCCCATCCTTTTTAGTTTCCTGACTTCGTCCCTGCCTATATATGTTCCCACTAGTCCCATGGATGGCTGGGTGTATCACTCAGCCCAACAGCTGCAATCCAGATGCTGCAATCCTTTTGGATTGCTTTTTTGGTCACTACACACATTTTTGTATACAATTGCACTGTAAGAGTTTGGTTAATGGAGACTCCTCATTGCAAGAGCCTGTTTAATTGCTCAGTCACTTCTGGCATGTGAACTGGCTGTTGACTGAGCCTTGTTTAACTTTAGATGGTCCTTGTTGTGATGGCCATATAGCGAGAATCCACCTTTCAGCTTAGCACTGGAGAAATCCAGCAGTGCATAGGTTCCGCTGTTAACAAAAAAACCCCTCCATACATTATCAGTATATCGATGCAGGGGAATTACAAATGGAGGTTACGCATACAGAAAATAAAGAGTCAGATTTTTACAACTAGTGTTTGGTCACTCAAAAACCTGGATTTGTGTATGCTTGCTTAGTCTTTTATTTTTTCAGTTCAGATGCTGGTCAGGAGCTCTGGCTACCAACAATTGGGCCTTGGAATATATGGATATACAAACCTCGTAGCCCAGGTTGAGATCACTTGGGAACTCTGGCCCACCCAAAGTGTAAAACAGTGGATTTGTACGCTGTCAATAAAGTGCTTAATTCTGTAATTGCATGAAGTGAAATTGGCTCATTCTTTTCTGTCTTTTGTGTCTCCGTTTTCAGACAATCTCAGTTTTTGAGGAGCGGGCCCATATTCTCTACATGTCTTTGGAAAAATTAAAATTTATTGATGATCCTGAAGTCTACTTGCGGAGATCTGTCCTTATAAACAATTTAATGAAGAGAATCCATGGAGAAATTATCATGCAAAACAACTGGTGCTTCTCTGCTTGCTCTTTTGGCAACACCTCAGCACAAGAATGGTTCATGTCACAAGACTGTCCCTATAGAAAACGTCTCCGGATGGCAAAAGAGGAATGTGAAAAGTTCCATACATGCTGCTTTTATCAAGAGTGTGGCAGTCACTATTTAAATTTGCCATTCTCTGTTAATACTAATGGGGAAAATTCTTCCTCCTCCTCTTCCTCCTCCTCCCCTATCTCTTTGCCAAGTTGTTCCCAACAGGTGGATTATGGCATTGGCAATGCCCCTGTTTACAGGAGTGATGACCATATACTTGCCAATGAAATATTCATTACTAATGCCAGGTCTCATGGTAATCAGGAAAAGGCAAAATTAAATGATGAGAAAGGAGGTAATGAAACTGAACGAGATGGTGTCACTCTAAACTGTGAACCGATGAAAGGCGACCTTGCTCTTGAATGTAAAGGCAAATTTTATGATTATTTTGAGACTGGATCTAATGACAAGAGCAACATAAGTGAATCTTGGAAAAAATCCTTGAGGAAAAAGGAATCTTTACCAAGTAACAAAATGTGCTGCAGCAAAGGAAGTAAAATATGAGACACCCTTTTTTGCTGTAACTTTGACGCATGCACAGCATGTTCAGTTATCTATCAAAATTGTATTTTGAATGGATTTTTTATAGTTTTGTACAACTGATACAATCATGCCACAAACGTTATGTGTATAGTTTTAAATGACTGGAGAGCAGATTGCCTAAAGCATCTGTATGATCAACATCAGTGAGCTATTTATAAATATGGAGACTTCATAAAGAGCACAGTTGAATTATTGCTTACAATTATAGTTTAGCTTTTGTTACTGAAAATACCAACAAACCAGCTGGGGAAAACATACCCTTTTATATATCCCCTCCCTCAAAAAGTCTACCATTAATTAAAAGGAACCCCCATTATGCTTACCAATTAATTAGATGTTTGGTAAACAAATTGATATTACCAACAAGGGTGGTCTGCTTCTTGTAAGACAATATTCATTGTGAGGAAACACTGGTTATGGTGGTTGGGGAATTAACTCTACATACTCATACTGACACAGTTAAATTCCTGTATTCATTCTTATTCAACTGACAAAAGCCAGGATGTAACATAATGAAATACCTGTTCATTGGATCTTAATCAGAAACACCACATACAGCACAATCACCTGCATGTTTTCAGCTCAGAGGCAATCAGTAATGAGGTGTATGGTGGTTTGTTGTTATACAGGGCAGATATTTTTTGTGCCTTATTTTTTTACCTTAATTTTTGCCAGTGTGAAAATTAAGTATAAAATCAGAGCTACAGCAGGGACTTAACCTAAACAGAAAAGAAAACCAGGGTGGATCAATTTTATTAAAAATCTGTAGCCTTTGAAATATCAAGTTGAACTTCCTATTGAAACATCTATATTCTTTCTTTTTGATGCTCGATTGCTTTTTGATTTGCCATCCTTAGGAAGGGATTTAAGAAACAATAGAGAGATGTCTCTTGTAAACAAGCATTAGATGCTTGAGCATTTCTATGGCAACTGTCTGTTGCAGGGGCTCTTTTTGTATAATGAAGTTCATGAACCAGTGGCATGTTTTATACTTTATTCTGTTTCGCATAATTTCTCTCTTTTAGATTGCAAAAGCATGCAGGGGTTTTATATGACTTTTGCTGTTGATTTTTAAAAGACAAGCAGAACAAAGAGCACAATGTTAATAAATGACGTGGCGATAACATTTTATCTGAAATGAATGTATGGGTTTTACTTAAAAAAAAAAAAAAAGATTATTTTGGAGAAATGGGTGGAGGTTTCAAAAGTTAGGGACAAAATGCAGTCATTTTTGGTTATACCATTTTAAAATGCACATTTTTGCAACCATGCTTAATATGGTGTTCAGGGGTGTGCTAAGAATATTGTGTGTTCTGGATCCACCACATTTTGGGGTTCCCACAGCCTTCCCTTCCCCCCTCCCCAAACTGGCAGGAAGTGCTGTGTGTAACAGTGAAATCCAAGTCACACATGATGCCTAATTACTTTCTGTTTGTGCTTGGGGACATTGAAAATCCAAACTGTATCTCTTTCACATTGGTCTTGCCCTAGAAACAATCAGCTGTAATCATGCTTCCCACTTTTTACATGGATGCAATTCATCCATGTGCTTGGGACCAGATCAGTTGCAGCAAGGCAGACAAGGGACTTGAGAGTGGTCCACTAGAATGAATTCCAGCCTACCTGCACATTTCAGCTCTCACTGAAACCAGCAGGAAAGCACCTGTGGATTTTAGTGGCATTGAGTCAGGCTCTAATTCATCACTGTACTGGGCCTTTAGTAGACTGTCCACCCTGGATTCCAAGGACACTGTCTTAATTCTCCCCTGACATTATTACTTTTAATGGCAAGTAACAGCAGTGCTCCAGAGTCAAGGCTTTAGGGCATCTTTCTCTGATAAGTACAGCAGTCACCCTTAAAAGCTTGCCAGTTAAAGCAACCTCACCCTTTGCAATATTCCCTATAGGATGCATGGGAAGTGATGGGGGAAAAAGTCTCAGATAGCTTTTATTTAGTCTGTAACATGAAACTGGCAACTTTGTAAGGGTTATAATTGGAATAGGAATTTGGCAACAAAGAATGGAGCCCACCTGATTTCTCCAAGAGGGAAGCTTTTTTATTATTAATAATAATATTAAGTATAGATCTCATTCATACAGTGTATGAGTAGGATCATAATTTATGCATTTGTCCACAAGGACCAATTTTTTAAAAGCTGATTTTCTTGTGTTATACCCAGATAGTCTAGTAACGTCTGCTCTTTTATTTTCAGTCTTTGATAAACATTTGATGTTTTCAGCTTAAATATTAGATGCTTGTATACTAATGTTTTGTTGTAGTAAAGTGAGGTTTCCTTGATATATATTTATTAAAATGACCAAAATTCATTTTAATTTTATACCTCTAATGGCTACTGGATCCTTTTTTTCCTTTTTCGTCTCCCAAATAAATTTGGAACGTGTTCCTGTACTGCAGAGGTTTACATTAAAAGAGGTTCTTGTACCACAGGTATGGACCAACACTGAGTTCTAAGCTGTACTCTGAAGCACAATTTTAAGATATGCTGAAAAATGTAGCAGATATGTTTGAGGTGTAAGCTGGGCATTTAGCGCTTGGGTATTGTGAAGACCAGCATTTGGCCAAATTTTGCAAACTGTAGCATTCTCGTAGAGCCTACGCCCATAGAGCATTGTACGTTTGTGAGGTGTTGAGTGTCATCAACTCTGTGTATGGGCAACGCATAGTGGGTCACGTGCCCCCCCCTCCCTGAGATTGGCCCTCATTGGCTGGGGAGTGGGGGTGCAGAGTGAAGCACCAGCCGGTGCCCCCCTGAGATTCGCACCGGCTGGTGAGTGGGGGCGCTGAGAGAAGCTCTAGTGGCACTTCTGGTTTTGCTGCCAGTGTTCCCGGGGTCGGCGATCAGCCACTGGTGTCCCCCCAGACTCTGGCCCATGTGGCATGCTGTTCCACCTCAGAGAAAAAGACCCATTAGAGAAAAAGTGCTTCCCATGTAGAAACTTTTTTATGGCAATGATTTTATGGATTGTGTTTACATGTGATCAGCACAGTTCACAACCTGCTTAATTTGCAGTAAGTTGCCAAGTGAATGATAAGCTGCACAGTTTGATTGCTGCGGTTTTTACTTTAAACAGTACCACCTCTCCTCTCAGGTGGAGCACAGCTGTGGTCCCACAGAGTTGAACGGAGAAGTGGCGCTGACTGAAATGAAGGCACAACGATTAGTTGGAGCCTAGCCATTAACTGTGGCTCTAAGTATACCCCAAAATCCTGATTTACTTTGTCTATAAGGTGCAAATCTACCCCACATTCTGCCTGACTTCAGACAAACATGGCTAATTAACTCTCTACTCTCAAACCTGCACCTCTGCAGGGAGCTAAGGAACCTAATCCTGCAAAGTATTCAGGTATCTCTATTATATGTAGTATATGCTGTACAGTATATAGTATTATTAAGGCACTTAGCACCTTGATCCCCTATTAGACAAAATGAGGGGATATAAAATGTATACAAATCTATTATCTATTCTGTTATCTATTCTGATTATATCTATTCTCTAAGAGTGGCAGTGCGAAGTAAGGATAAGTTTATGTAGTGCAAGGCAATGCTGTGCAGACACCCAGTGCTAGCTCTTGGATGGGGATCAGTTTCGCTGCATTAGCCCAGCAGTGCCTGGGTAACTAAGCCCTACTGAAAGGGCTTATTAGCTTGCCTGCAGCCTGCACAGTAGCATATCTATGCTGCTTCCAGGTTCCAGAGTTAGCACACACAGAGCTAGCATGTAGACTTTGCATAAGCATACCTTAGTTTCTTTTCCCTTTTCTTTACTTCACAAGCTATAACAAATTATGAAAGTAAATGCCAAGGTCTAGCAGTATGCTAAGAGTTCCTACTTACTTTTTTGAAGACACAAACTATTGTTTTGTTAAAGGGAAAAGGAGGAAAATCAGAAACAAGCCAGGGAAATTACCAAAAATACAAGAGATATTGTTATGAATTTCAGCTTAGCTTTTCTAAATGGGTTTTGTTGATACATTTTTGCTTTGTAGTGCTTTAAAGTTATACTAAGGATATAAATCAGCCGGGGGGGGGGGGGGGGGGTTGTATGCATATCAATACCAAAACCACTTTTTTCTGATAGCACAAATTTTACAAAGTAGCTCTTTTTCAAGATCGTATTAATTCCTTTCCCTTCTATGTACCTTTCTTGCATACATGCTTAATGCATCTTCCTGAACTTGATATCAATCTATCTGCCTGAGAGAAATGGTCAGAACAGCTTATCTGTAGAGGGATTGTTTTCTTCTGCACCATAAGATATTTTAACTCATAAGAATGTAACACTATAGAGCATTGTGACTTTCAGTTGCCTTCACTTACCTCTGTACTCTTATAATACACTAGAAAACAGAAGCAGAAAAAGAGGTTTCTGTTGTGTCTGTTTTATCAGTGATAAGAATAAAAGTTCTGTTTTATCTCTGGGATCACTTTCCTCTAGACAATAAATTTCCCATTGAAAGGCATAGTTTATTTCAGTGGGGAACCCCCCCCCAGCCTACTTTTCCTCAATATATACACATCTACACAAGCTATTTACTGTGGAGCTGCCTAATTAGCTCTGTGGTATAGTCTCAGAGTCTACATGTGGCCTTATTAGCCCACAGTAAACTAATGAACTCTGCCGTAGGTTAGTACTTGTAAACAAAAGTTCTATCCTACAGTGACATTCTTTAGTCTGTAGCAATGCATGTGTAGATGGTGATGGGGCTGGTTGGAGCACCCTTGTGCCCCAGCTAGCCCCTCCGCAGCATGTTGAGCCAGGTTGGGGCAGCCCAGGGCTGGCAGGCTGACCCTTCAGGTCCCTTGCAGCTGGGGCTGCTCCATCTCAGCTCAACATACTGTGGTCCTGGGTACATGTGCAAACAGCACTCCCGGGAGCAATTAACTCTGGCTCAATATGCATTAATTTCATATGTAGACATGCCCAGTAGGTGCTTCATCATGCTTCATTTTTATAATACATAGGTTAAAGAGTTCATAACTTCTACTAAGATTACTTTTGAAAATATAATTTAGCACACTGTTGGCTATGTATCTGGTGTGCATACAGTGAAAATATTTAAATATTTTCAGTGCCATATTTCACAGTGAACAATGGTCTGTATCATTTAAAAAGCAGCATGTACTTAGTCCACAAGTCTACCCTGCCTTCTGCCTGACTGAACTAACAAGGCTAACTAATGCTTTGTCATCCAAATCACCACCTCAATTGCCACTAACTGGTAATGATAACTGGATAGCAATCTCAAAAGAGGGGAGAAAGCAAATGAGTCATGGGAGCTAAATTATCCTCTCTCTCCTAAAGGTGGTCCCTTCCAGAGTGCAGCTGAGATACATTGCTGTCTTTAGTTTTTATTCTTCCATATTCATATTTCTTCCATTTCTTTTTACCATTTCGCCAAATGCCCTTCTATTTTTAGATCTTGAACTTTTGGCCAGAGTTGTGCCTTTCACTGTCATCACTATTGGAAGGTCTGCTTCTGTACAGCTGAGATTGTTCAAAAGCACAGGAAAATTAAGTTTTTTAAAATCCAAACTAAATCAATAAATGACGCTCATCAGTACGTTCTGAAGAGTCAGGCCATTCTGGCAACATAAGCCAATTAATAAACTTGGTTTCACTGTCTAGTTAAATTGGGTTTAGAGATGATTTATATTTCTAGAATGGCAGAAAGCAGTCAAAAGTTTCCCTGAATCTAGACCTATATTTTAAGCAGAAAACTAAGCTAAATGCTGTATTCTGTTAAGCCTTTAAAATATCATTGACTTCCTGAGATAAATGCTATACATGGTGTAACTAAAGGCAATTTTAATTTTACAGTATTGAAAACTGAGATTGATAAAATTTACAAAAGCTTATCTAAATGAACCGTTCATTTAACTGACTGTTTAAACTGTTAAAAATTATTCTATTTTGTTTTTTATTAAATTAATATTACAGTTCAGCCAGGATCTCAAATGTATGTACTCAATTGCATTCTCCATTCATTACCATGTAATTCATAAGAAGTGGGAAAATCCCTATTTCCTGGAGATAAAGTCCAGTACTCTCAGCCTCACTACAAGACTGTTTCACAGCTATGTGAGACTAGTGGGAAGCAGTTATAGCAATTTTACTAGTGGCATATATGCATCTGGTGTGCTCAAGGAATCCTATGGAAGAAGCACTTGGAAGGAATCTGGCTGGAAAGTCTAAAGATGTGAAACTTTCACAAGGCATCCTACACAACAGCCAATAAGTACGATCAAAAATATTTGGAGTACACAGTTATTTCCTGTGTTTTTGAATATCACTTTAACTTCTATGACAGATGGAAAAAGATGACTAAACTAAGGGAGTTTACACAAGGTCACCTTGTGGTGTTTGCAAACTATCTCTGTGAGGTCCGTTTTCTCTGAAGTAAACACAGTTCCGGCAGTCTGCCCAGAGCTTTTGCACCAGCTAATCAGATTAATTTTGGAAATGTGAGATATGTTTTGAAAGCTATGCAAGGTATGGTTTTGGTGCTGGTGAACTGAGCAAATATCAGGTTTGGATGTGGAGGGATTCATTTTGGGGTTGCAATTCCTTCCTACTCCTCCCCTCCCCACTTTCAGCTTTTCACAAAATGGGTCAAAGCAAAGCTGCTGCGGCTGTCAGGCCAGGCAGAATTCACCACACCAGGCTTGTGGCTTCCTGTATCAGAGAAACCTGTGGTAAGATACAGGATGTCTCAGATGAGATTTACAAGCCCAGCTGTGATTATGCAGACATGGCTGCATTCAGGACTATGGCCTTCTGTTTCCTTCCTAGGTTTTTATGCCACTGAAGGCCATTCACCCATCACGCTGCTGTAAATGTGGCCTTAAGGTGTTTCTGTTTTTTGCAGATGACTCCAGAAAAATGCTGGAGATTTTATTCTCATGTGTCTGCAACTGAGTAAATATGGGTCCACTGCTACGGAGTTATGAATATTCTAGTGCTTAGACACTGGGCAGGGACCCAGGAGATCTGTGTGATCTTGGGCAAGGTAATTCTTCTTGCTGTTGCAATCCTGGATTTGTAAATGGAGCCAAGGCTCCCGTCTTTGGCAGGATCATCAGGAGTATAAAAAAATAATTAATCTTCATGAAGTACAATGATAGAAAACCATACAAGTGCCTTGATTGATTATATGACATTTTTAGGCTTTTTGTCTAAAGGTGGTTTTTGTCGCACTCAAACAGGTGATTAGTGGGGGAAAAAGGAGATGCAAGTGTCAGGAAGGGGAACTGAGGGAAGATATAAATC